TTCAGCAGTCTTTACAACCCGTAGTGTTTTCTAGAGGTTAAGCTTTTCTTGTCCCTATCGCTGATCCTTTCACGCTGTTGTACTTGAGTAAACTGTTTTTCGTATGAACGAGTATTGTCGCAATATCATTGGGTTTCAATTATACCCCATTAATAATGATTCATTGGTAAACTTTTTCCGAACATCCATAAGCATGTTCATCTAACTTCACATAGTTTTCTTATTATCAGTAATCTATAAATATACTGGGTTAAGAAAAGGGCACAGTGTACGGATGACAAATCGACTGATGCAGTAGTAAATCTTCACAAATCAGGCGGTCGGACATGTATTATGCATCCCAAAATATCACCTACTCTAATAACCAATATTATTTATGTGTGGGGGTAGGTTGTAAGAAAGTTAGGGGTGGTCAAACCAATAAATTTCATCAGTTCATGAAGTCGCTGACAATTGGAATGAGTCATGTTAATAGGTGTAAACTAATTGGTTGGGGTCCTCATGATTATCGGAACCAATGGTTAGGAACTTTGGATGATATGGATCTAAAATATCTTCAATGTCTGTGGTGTATCTATTCATTGTGTTCCTTCGAATCCTGAGACTTGAAATTCTTCATAACTCTTCTCTTATTTTTATTTCGCTAATTCGTACGCTTTTCAAGTCATATCTTCGATGCTTAATCATTCCTACTACTTCTGACATTGTTACTACCTCTACTATTGTGGGATTTTGTCTGACATCTCTCTGTGCTAATGGTATATGGTAAATAGGATCAATCTACATGTCTCAGTATCTACGTTGTCACTAATTGATAGTGATTTTTGGCTGTAATGTATGATCTAACCTTAGTCAGTCTAAACTACATTCACATTTGAGTTAACTATATCTTAAAGTTATGTATTTAGTATTGGGTCAGTCTTCGAGTATTTTGATGTGATGCAACTGGAATAAATGGATGAAACTTGTGTTTTGTTACAAATACCTCATTGAATTTCATTTATCTGATATAAATAAGGTATTCATTAGATGAGATGAGATGAAATGAATGCTTGATGGATCTCTCTGTATCATATTCACTGTGAATAGAATCTTCTTTTCAGTTAACTTATCTTTCATGTACTTGAAGAAACCTATCAACCGAGTTGATTAGTATTAGCATTAGTATTAGTATCATTAGTGACTGGCTTCAAGAGATATTTCCTGGATTTCTAGTAAGAAGCAGTGACGAGTGGAGTTCAATCGAGTCTGTTGTGAGATAGTAACTCATTGAAGACAGTGGTGAATGTGACACTCAATTTCGTGGATTAGTTGAATTTAAACATTAACACTATTGGATGCTGGCTCAGTGGTCTAGAGGTTAAGCGCTCGCAAGCGAAACCCAAGGTCCTGGGTTAGAATCCCGTGAACGGGATCGTGGATGCTCACTGCTAACGAGTTCCGCAATAGGACGAAACGGCCATCCAGTGCTCTCAGGTTTTCCATGGTGGTCTAGCTTCAATGGACCCATAATCTCAACTATTCAAAGAGTTCATTATGCTATGAAATTCCAAGTTAAGACTTATACTACTTTACATCCGATAAGTAATCATATCTTCATTATAAACTGATAACTCGTATAGAAATTTTTGGTCGAAGGGCCATGATTTTGTTTCACATATGAAACAAAGGCGAAATGAAGCTTGAAAGTTCAAATTCTATCACTAATATATTTCTGTAAACGAGCAACTATCTCAGTTCTTCTTGGTTTAACACTTATTTTTATTAATATTTATATATAACATTCTGAAAATAAGCTTCTTTGGGTTAGGAGGAATGTTCTAACCAACGGGTTATCAGTTAATGTCTCTTTTCACTTGTTATAGCTTTAATCAATGAGTAGTACTGTGGTTTGTGCTACTGATTTCTGGAGACAGAAGGTTAAGAAAACTGAAGAAAAGAGAACGAAAACAGAGTGTGATTGATGTTGTAATGAAAGAACAATGAAGACTGAGACGATTGATTGACATTTTTTGCAAATGATAAATTTACTGTATGGTTCTCAGATTTTATCATGATATTCTGTAATTTTGTATTTGAATGCATTCAACTGTCCCCACTTATGTTCTCGTTGACTACAGTAGCATAAGTTCTCAGCCTAGTAAATGACTTTGTATGTAGTTGTTAAATTTTTGATAGATAATATCCTATTGTTAAATATAACATAAAGTAGGTCACTACGTTGATAAGGTGACTAAATTTTGGTGATTGAAGTAACTAGAACGTACAGCAAAACTGTAACTTAATCAACATACTTTATTAATCAAAGGCAAAATAGAGTGGAATAAAACGTGAAAATATTCATCGAGTTAATCAGCTAGATCTCCAGCCGACTTAAGGTATAGGAAGCAGAATGTGATTCCTAAAATAGTGAAGGTCAGCGATTGGTGATGCTGAATGATCCAAAATTATGATATAAAGACAGACGTTGGTCATTTAGACTCAATGTAGATTCTGGCAAATGAGCACATAGGTTCACGTTGCTATACACCATTAGTACAAGAAGATAAAATTGTCAGGGAAAATCCCTTAGTAGTAGAGATAGCAACAGTATTAATGTTAATAGAGAAGACTAGGAGTCAAATATATGATTCAAGAAAAAAATATAAATTAATAGAATAATAAAAAGAAATGTATGAGGATTTTAGAAACTGAAGATCTAATGGAATGAACCTATGTCATTCAGAACGATTTTGAAACGTATCACTGAAAGCCTCTAACCATTAATTACAATAATGATGCAGATCCTAATCAAATAGTTCGCACCTGCCTTCATGGTTCATCCCAACAGTCAGCGTTTTCATGGACTGATACCGCAACTTGATTTAGTCTCCCATACCGCTACATAGAAAATGATCACGCATCAAGGTGGTTGGACATACGTAATACATATCCCAACTATCTCAGTCAATAACAATCCACTCATCAATTGATTTGTCATCCTTACCTTGCACTCTGTGTTTAAACTCAGAATTGCTAACACAATGATTCCAAAATATATGAAGACATCTATAATTGAGCACTAATAATCTACAAAGGTCCTCTATTTTTAAAGGCCATGTTTCACACTCATAAAGATAAACAGGGCAAGTTGTTGGGCAATAGAGTCATCCTTCAGTTGGCAGACGGATATCTCACCTATATCACAAATTGCTTAAGTTGGCGAAAACCAACAGGGATTTCTAAATTCTTGACGAAATTTCGTCAGACACCTATCCATCAGGACTGATGAAACTCCTAGGATAAATAAAGTAGTCGATGTGCTCAACTGCTTCAGTCCCTATTACTAGTTAAGGCATTGGTACACATTAGTCTTGATGCAAAATTTTACATTTAAATGAAGAGAAATGAATCTAAAACATGCTAATATTGTTGCTTAAGGCAGTGAAAAGACTGAAGTTCTTGAAAGTCTTTGCCAAACAAAGTTACATCATTTGAGTATTCTAGGTTAATAAAAGAATCTCCTGATAGATTGATTCCTGATAAATCATTATTTATTTTAAAACATAGATATTAGTACAAGGAGGCACCAAATACATATGCGTCACTCAGATCTCATTTGATATGTGTGAGTTCTGTGATACTGCCCGGGTGCCCAAACCGAAGTAGATCCTGATAGGTCAAATAATAAGAGTGTTTATAACAATAACAAAGTTTCAAGTTTCTTTAAATAAATTTAGTTTAGAATGAAACACTAATCAATAGATTGACTTCTGAATTTCTTTTTTTCTAAAAAGTGGTTTTGGATGAAGAGAAACGTTTAGCAAAACGTCGTTTAATTGAAGCAAATCGTGCACGTAAACGTGCTGAATCTGACAATGCAATACAACAAAGTCAAATTAATTCTGGTCCAAGTCCACCTAAACAAACTAGTTACCTTCCTCCAACACCTTCTTCTCTTTCAACTGCTGTTTCACCACTTCATCGTTCTCCTTTAATATCTCAACAGAATGTAATTCCAGCACAAATTAGACAGTCACAAATTAAACCACCAATGGTAACCACTAATCAACCACGTTCAGTATTACATAATTATCCATCGATAACAGCTCAAACAGGTGTAATGAATTTTACTAATTTATCACCAACTGATGGTAATTCAACTCAACTACATATATCTACAAATCTTAGTCCAACAGTACAATCATCTACTAATAATCTTGATCAGCATAATTCAACATCAATTCAACCAACAATATATGATCCAAATTGTGCTATGCTTCCATTATTACAAACATCACCAACAAGAAATAGTCTTATCTATTCAGATGGAAGTTCTCCTATAAATCAACATGGTCATTACGTAAGTACTAATCACCATCCACCACCATCACATCATCATCATCAACATCAACATCACCATCAACAACACATCATCCTCATCATCCTCAACATCCTTCTGGTCATTCACTTCAAGTAACAACAACCGATTTAATGTCAAATAATACACTTCATTCAAATTCATTAGTGAATATATCATCTAATATTCCATTAGATGAATCCAATCAAATATATTGGACAAATAATTCAACTATTAATGAAACAATTGACAATACATTTCATCATCCTTTAACTACAATACATCAACATCATCAATTACCATTACAACAACATCAGAATAATTTTATTCAACCAATTGTAACTGATTCCAATTGGAATAATGAACAATTTACACAATCATTAATAACTAATGGAAATAATATTACACAATATTGTCCAGTTAGTTTAATGAATGATACTTTATCATATGATCAACCTCAACGAAATCATCATCATCATCAACAACATCATCATCACCCTGATCATCAACATCAACATCATAACCATCAGCAGCAACAGCAACAGCAGCAGCAGCAACAACAACAACAACCGTCATCAATGTCACATCAAAATCATGATCTTAATTTAGTGATGAAACAAACTAATCCCATAAATATCTTACATTATGATCCACTTATAAAGAATAATTTAACAAAGAATAATGATGATGTTAGTGAAATGAAAATTGCTAAATTAGATGAAAGAAAATATACTATACCAATTACTTCTATAAATACACCTATTATTAATCCATTTTCTATTACTGACTATTCATCATCATCATTGTCGTCGTCATCATCATCAGCTTCTTCTTCTTCTTCTTCTTCATCGTCATCATCATCTTGTTCCTTGTCATCATCATCATCATCATCGGTAACTTTGACAAAAAACACTGAAGATCAATTACAATTAAATTTAAAAAACGATGATGTTTTAAATGTAACAGATGAGTTATTTGTATGGACAATTGATGATCAAAATCTAATGAATTCAGTATGTAATGCATATGAATCTACATATTTTGATAAAGATTCAGTAAGTTTAATTGATTTGTTTTAAAAGAATGAAGTTCTAAAAGAGTTTTAAGTAAATCTTAAGTTGTTTTTTTGTTTGTTTGTTGGTAACTCAATGGGTTAAGCGTTGGATGTTTGAAACGAAAAAGTACTGGGTTCAGATCCCAGTGTGAATATCAATATTAAGATACAGTCATAGTTATATGATGAGTTTTAAATGGGATGAAATATGTATCCTGAATTTCACTGCTTTTCACTTTAAAGGTTATGTAGACCGAAAAATCAAATAAGTCAGCATATATCAGTTAAGGGGTTGTGGGAATTGTTAAGTTTTTTTTTTTGATTGAGATCATGAACCGATTGATGTTAGACCACCATTGAAACCTGGAAGCACTGGACGGCAATTTCGTGGATTGGTTGAGGTTAGACATTAACACGTTTGGATGCCGACTCAGTGGTCCAGTAGGTTAAGTGTCCGTGCGTGAGACTGAAGGCTCTGGGTTCGAATCCTGCCGAGGGCGGGATCATGGGTGTGTACTGCTGATGAGTCCCACAATAGGCCGAAACGGCCGTCCAGTGGTTTCAGGTTTTCAATGGTGGTCTAACATCAATCGGTTCATGATCTCAAGTCAGCATATAGTCTAATCATCCTGAACCTAGAAAAGTTAAGATATAAACTGGTGTTTATGTGACATAACAAAAGAAAAACTCTACCACTAGACATTTAACCCAAGAAGTTGAAATGTAGGAATTGTGATGATTGACGTTAACTCCAAAGTAGGCGGGTTAAACCGAGAAGAAATATGCAGTAATGAAGGATTTTATATAAAAATCCAGCAAACAGATAACCTGTCAGTCTCTGGAATTAAATCAACAGCGAAAATAGAAGTGTCTCATCTCTATCTACCAGCTCTAAATATGGTTGGTATAGGATTATCTATCTTTGAAATTTGTTTAGGAAAACTAATAGAGAAAAAACCAACTTGAATTAGAGAGCATGATTGTGCCCTCTATGCTTAACGGAGTAGAGAACAAATAGTATAGCTAAATTCTGACCAATTCATAATGAATAAGTTCCGGAAGTGTTTAAAGATGATGTTGTTGACAAATTATCAATTAGATCAATCTAGATTAGAATAGTTAGATTATAGAATCTGGATGTAAGGCCGAGGGTGCGGAGAGTCCGTTCTCCCTCTTCAAATGCTCTCACATGGCCACACGTATATACATTTCCATTTAGAACTCTAAGTATTGATGCCCTAAAAGGAGGCTATTTCATCAAATTATAGTGCTAAAACAACACATTTTTTTTCAAGAAGATGCTAACAAAATGTAGTTTTCTAAGAGCCTTGATTAGTAATTTTATAGTGTTTGCAATATATCTCCTTCTCTTCATACTCGAAGTGTTACTTTAGGATAGGTATATATTGGTGCCTAGTTATACAACACAGCTGGAGAATCTGACAGGTTTAGACTATCTAAGTAATATCTTAGCGATGAAAGCAATAACTGAATGAAGAAGCTGGATATTATATTCATCAGAATTGTTCACTATTCATCACATGAAATTTCTCTTCAGTCTCAAGTGTCTTATTAATTATCGTTTACGCTTGTTCTTTTCTTCTCTCACGTCTGATATTTTTATTGTTATTTCAATTCTGTTGTCTGTTTCTATACGTTAGTCAAATGTGATCACTTCAAAATGACGTACCTTTAACGGTTAGGTGGATTAGAGATCGAAGCACTTGATTTGTAACCACTTAGTTGATAATTCCAACCCTACTTCATTTTTATAAATTTGAGAAGCTAGCTAGTATCCCTGTCTTGCATACTTATAGTCATAAATGAAACCTGTCTGAAATTTGATTGAACTAGGTTCTCTATAAGTATGTTTGGTCATCTGTCTGTTGTATCCTGTTGTCTCCGACTCATACCAACTTTCTAGGCGCAACCCCAACCAACTACCTAAGTGGGGAAATATATATATATATATATATATATATATATATATATAGTTGAAATCATGAGTCAATTGATGCTAGACCACCATGGAAAACCTGGAAGCACTGGACGGCCGTTTCGTCCTAGTATGGGACTCCTCAGCAGTGCTCATCCACGAACCCGCTCGCGAGATTCGAACCCAGGACCTATTAGTCTTGCGCGAGAACGCTTAACCATTAGATCACTGAGCCGGTATCCAACGGTGTTAATATCTAACTTCAACTTATTCACGAAAATGAGCCACCGTACACCATTGTCTTAAATGAGTTGATACCTCACAACAGACCTGGTTGAACTCCACTGGTCACAGCTTCTTACTAGAACTCCAGGAGTGTCTCTTGAAGTCAGTCATTAGTGAGCAGATGATTATTATCAGAAGGGGTTTTGTGATGATTTCAACTATTGAAATTACTAAAATCTCCATAAAACCCCTTCTGATATATATATATATATATATATATCCCTTAGAAATTTAAGTCACATATCTCCACTATATGTGTGTATTTCATTCCCTAAAAATAAAATGTAAATCCCGACCAATCCCATGTGTTTATCATCTTGTTGCTACATTCTATCTGGCCATTATATCTCTCCCCATACATTGGTTACTTTCCATTTTCTTAATGAAAGTATTGTAATATGTATTATTATATCTATCAATCATAAGTATCATTATTTATTGTTAAATAAGAAATTTACATAAATCTTTTCATGTATCTTTTTTAAGCCTAATAATAAAACCATGGAAAATCAATTATCTGGTACAAATAATAAAGATATTACTCAATCAAGTGATAATTCTCAATTGAATTCAGGTGAATTTGTAATTAAAAGTATCGTGGATTCACATGTGACCGGATTTCTCACAAAGGTAAATTTAATTAATGTTAGTAGTTGTAGTGGTAGCAGTAGTAGTAGTAGGAGTGGTAGTAGTAGTAGTAGTAGTAGTAGTAGTAGTAGTGGAAGTAGTAGTAGTAGTAGGAGTGGTAGCAGTAGTGGAAGTAGTAGTAGTATTGGTAATAATTATAATAATTTTTATGGTAATGATATAAAGTGGAATTGCCCGCTTTTCTGTTTTTGGTTTGATGCGAAACACTAAGCGTAAAAAATGAATCAACCAACTAATTGGTTATCAAGATTGAAAAAACATAGTTGGTTAAATGACTAGACTTTCAATCAATAGACCACTGGTTCGAATCCTATCCCCACTTGCTTTGATGTGAATAACCGAATAATATAATTAGTTTTTATGCGAAAAAAATGTGCCGAAAAGTTGAGTACATTAATTTATACTTGTAAAATAAACTACATGTAATCTACAAGTTCATGAATCATAGAGTAAACTATACTTGTAAGTATATGTGTAAATATTTGTGTTCAACTCAAAATTAATACACAGATCCTTTTATGAAGACTTGTAATACTATGGTGTAAACTACTTATATCGACAGATATAAGTATTATGTAACACCAATAAGTAGTGGAATACCTAGTAGTAGAAGGTTGGGAAGATTCAATCGAAGAGAACGGGAACACAGAGTAATTATTAGAGTAATGAAGGAACAATGAACTTTGAGACAATTGATGGAGAATTTACAAGTGACATATTGAACTGTATAGTTTTCAAATTTTATGAACAAACTCTATAATTTTGTATGAAATAATAAATTAATTGTCGCTACCTAACTTCTCGTTTACAGAAATACTACTATCTATCTCTTATTTAACTACTGTTGATAGGATTCAATGTGAAACTATGACCCTTAACTCCTAAATAAATTCCATAAGGTAAACTGTCTTATTGATTTTGATCATTCAACTATCCGGTAATAGTCACAGAAAATGCAGTCAGTCAGTCAGCTACAACGTAGGACCAGGCACATATATACGTCGGTCCAAGATGTCTCATAGATATTACATGGATATTCTGGGATTACCGCATAAGTAATAGTGAGGTTAGACGCAGGGTATTAGGGAATGATGGTAAATCAGTTGATGGGGTTGTAAATCTTCATCGGCTAAGATGGTTGGACCACTTGTCACATATGCTTGAACACCAATTATCACGACGCGTGATGCTAACCGGTGTTGGAAGAAAGTTTGAGGCGGTCAAACCAAAACGTGGCGTCAATCCATAAAGTCACCAAATTCTGGTATGAGCCGTGTTGGTAGATACAGACTACTTGATTGGGGTCCGCATGACATTCGTAACCAATTGTTGGAGGCTTTGGGTGACATGTCTCAGAATTGGTCACAATGGCGTCGGTGTATACACTCCGTTTTTTCTTAAACTGTGAGATTAGAACTACTTTATATCTTTCTTTTAACGAACTAATTCTTTCTTCCTTATACACAATCTTTCCATATATTACCACCATTGAAGTGACTACTTCTATGAATTTGGTGTTCATCTTGTTGTGCTAATAGGGTATGACAACTTGGACCGATGCCTATATGTGCTTGGTCCTACGTTGTAGCTGACTAACTGACTAACTGATCTACTTATACATTTAAAAATAAATTGTTAGGTTAGTTAAACATATGACTTTATGTCTGGTGAATGTTATTTTATATTAATCTAAATTGACAATAGACTATTCTGATTAACCGAAACCTTATAGTATATCTGATTATACTAACAAGTTATAAATCATACTTCGTTTAAAATAATAATCAGATCTATGTAACCATATGTTGTGGATATAATCAATTATACGTTAAATGTACAATATTAACTATAATTGTATCCTAGGGTTTTCTTATTACTGACCATAATCTATGGATTAAAGTTCACAAAGTATACCATTAAGCTAATTTAGTATTTAAAAAGTTTTTTTGTTGTTGAAAAAGTCAGTTCATTGATCAGGCACTTGAGTGTCACTCATACTGTAAGCTTGGGGGGGGGTAATCATACTGTGTCAGTTGCCCAAACCGAAATAGATCCGACAGGGTTCAAAGCTAGGACGTAGTGACTGGATGTTGGACACCTTAACCATTTAGTAATCGTCTTGACTATAAACCAAAATAAATCTATTCCGTTTTTTTAAATAGATTTAATGCCTTCTTAGTGTTATGATGATGATGATGCGATAACTCTTCAGAAATATGAACTAGTATCACTATTATCAAAGATTAAGTAAAAGAAAATGGTCTAGTCTTCTTTGAATCATAAAGTTTGCTGTGACTACAGGTATTTGTTTCAGTTTCTCCGGAAGTTCTTTACATAAACTGCCCCCTCCCCACTAGAGTGTGACTAACAGTATGTAAACGTAACCAAAAGTATAGTTCTATTCGCAACCATCAGTTCAGAATACACTCAGTTTTTCCTAAGCCACTAATTCAATATATTTCTTTCTTGTTTCATGTGTGCAAGCTTTCAATATAGTTTGAAATAGCCTAATGTGAACATAAACATTCATGAATTAAATTGGGAAATAAAAAACACCATCAAACAACGTAAAAATATGATAAAACATAATATTAGAATACTATGCTTTATGCTACTGATGCTGACAGATATAAGTAGTATGTATCATCAATCGAAAGTGAAATGTCTAGAAGTAGAAGGTTAAGAAGATCAAAGAAAAACGATTAAGAACAGAGAGTGATTGTTATGGAAACAAAGAAACAGTCAAGTTTGAGACAATCGATTGATATTTTGCAAATAAAGTATGTACTGTATAGTTCTCAAATTTGACTAAGATGTTCTATAATTTCGTACTGAGTTACTTTCGATTATCCTTACATGTGTTCTCGTTCACTACAGTACTTATAGAAAATGGAAGAATTTGGTTAATAGCCCTAAGACGCAGGTACATCCAGCTGATGAGTCTCAAATAGGATGAAACGCGCGTCCTGGATTTCACTTCTAGCCACTATCTACCTTTGCTTATAGTTATTTTAATTTTAAATATCCTTTTATTATTACTATTATTTATTATTTAATTCTTAATTATCTCTATTGTTTTAGTTAGATGAAGTTGAACAAGAAGATATTCAACATGCTAGATCATTTTATATGACAACATTTCATGATTTAGCTTATCTTATTGAACCAGCAATAACACGTTTAGTGAAATTCGCTAAACGAATTCAAGGATTTGATACAGTAAGTTTTAATTGATTGTCAGAAGAAATTTACTTGAATGCTGAACCTTATAGAATGATATTTGAGAGTATTGCAAAGGTTTTATGTCTGATGTATTGCCTCCGTTATATGTGTGTCGGTTATGTTGTATCCATGATCCCACTTCTTATACTTGGAGATAGGAACCCCTTAAATTCCCACGTCGTGAAGTGAAAACATAAATACTGCTACAAATCAATATTAATTGACTTTTCAAAAATACATCCACAAAATAAGTCTGTGATACTGCTGTGATACTGCCTGAGTGCCCAGATTGAAACAGGTGGTTTTCTTAAAGGGTCACACACCGAGCCTTCGACCTAAAGGTCTGATCCACAAGGCAGTGGAGCATCATGAGGAGATGCAGTCCAATGGTAGCTGGTGATCAATAATTGGTACATACGCCACCATCAATATTGTACTGAACAAAATGTTACACTGAGAATAAAACCAATGTCAAGATGGGTCATTAGGAATACAAGTAATGCTCTAAAGTGTTGCACCAACTTACAGGAAAAATGAATTCACCTTCGTATCTCAACTTATCAATAGGTTTCTTAAAATTGTGTTCATTAAAATAGTAGATGACTGAAAATAGTTGAAAAGAAGCCCTAAACCTAGGCTTTCTGTTACTTGATACTCATCATTAAGGAATATCTGTAATCTTGAAGGAATCGATGCTACCGACGGAATATAAATTAGTATCACCTAGGCTCTTTACTCGAACAATACTAGACGAGTCAGAGCTTATGATGAACTGTCATCTGATTTTTCAACCTCAACTGGTGTCCATCAAGGTAGTCCACTATCTCCATTTTTGTTCAACTTCATCATAGACACACTGATGGAACTAACGTTCTCGTCGACTGAATTTTCAGGAATTAAATTCGCAGATAATTAAGTCCTGTTTGGTGAAGACTCTGGTAAATTGCAGAGTCTTTTGGTAGCGCTGAGCAACAATTCCAGGATGTCTGGAATGCGTTTCTCCCCTTCTAAACGTAAATTGTTGCTTCACGACTGGCCTGCATCAACACCTGAACTAAGGATTGGGAGTGAAGTAGTCGAACACATCGACAACTTCACTTATTTTGTAAGCCTGATCAGTCTTAACGGGTTGGTTTCTAACAAAAATCTCTGCACCTATTCAGAATATTCGTTTGGCTTTTGCCAGATTACGTCACATGTGACGAAGGCGAGCTATCCGCCTGTCAATTAGGGGCCGAGTATACTGCGCAGCAGTTCGTTCTGTTCTATTTTATGTCTGTGAAACGTGGCCATTCAGGAAAAGGAGGATGCTCGTGAGTTACTGGCATTTGGTTACAAATTTCTTAGAGATATTACGTGAATCTTCTGGGATCACTGCGTCAGTAATAGTGAGGTTAGAGTTAGAGTATTAGGGAATGATGATAAATCAGTTGATGACGTTGTAAATCTTCATTGACTAAGATGGTTGGGCCATGCATTACGCATGCGCAACCACCGATTACCACGGTGGGCAATGTTGACTAGTGTTGTAGATAGACGGAAGATAGTTAGAGGCGGTCAAACGAAAACGTAGCATCAATCCATAAAGTCACTAACTTTTGTTCTCAGCCATGTTGGTAGATGTAGACTACTTGATTGGGGTCCGCGTGACATTCTTAACCAATATTTGGGGACTTTGAGTGACATGGCTCAGAAATGGTCAAAATAGCGTCGGTGTATACACTCTGTTTTTCTTTAAACTGTGAGATTAGAACTACTTTATATCTTTTTTTCTACGAACTAATTCTTTTTTCCTTATACACAATCTTTCTTTTATACATTACTACCATCGAAGTGACTACTTCTATGAATTCGGTGTTGTGCTAATGAGGTGTGGTAACTTGGACTGATGTATATACGTGCCTGGTCGTACATTGTAACTGACTGAGTATCTGTCATTTTTAAGATGGATTAGTTATTTATCAAATTAATAGTTTGTACAATGATTTCGTTAACCTAATAAATGCTATCCCTTAATATTATACTCGTTTCATTGTAATGAAATCGGAAGCATAATTTCAAATTGAGTTTTATTGTGAAAATGATCAACCAAACATATTTGAACCTATTTCAAAATATTCATTATTTCGATTCAATAAAGTATCTACTTCTACCATTGGATCATCTATATTGAAACCGTTGTTCAATATGGATGATATTCGAAGATTAAATTCTTTTCTTTTCCAAATACTTTTGCAATATAATCAAGACATTATAGTTGACTATGAACTAGAAGTGGCTGGAAATATTTCCATCCCAGAATCAGTTTTTTTCGTATATTAAAACACCCTCAAATGCTCTGGTACATCCAAGATTATGGTGAGTCAGATCTCTCCCTCTCCAAATGCTCTCACATGGCCACGTGCATATAACCACTACCATGGAAGTCCTACCCACTGCATTCTCGCGGCATTACTGTTGTTTACGAAATTGAAACAAAAGAAAAGCAAATGTTCAACGCTTTAACCGGGGGTCCAACTAAGGGGATTGGGAAACCCTGATTCCAAATCAATGGTGCACATGGGCTCCAATATCCTGGAGGAACAAATGGCGTATGAACCAATTACTGGTCACCGGATACCATGAAACTGCATCTCCCAATGTTGTTCCACTGCCTTGTGGATTAGACCCTTAAGTTGAAGGCTCCATTTGTGGCTCCCTAAAGAAACCACCTGTTTTAGTCTGAGCACCCGGACAGTATCCCAGCCCTCACACAAATCAAATGATTTATGTGGTGAATATGTATTACATGCCTCTTTGTACTGATATTTATGTGTTTAAATAAATAAATATGACTTAAACCTACTTTAAAAAAGTGTTTCGTTGAATGAATATGACTTACTGATTTCATTCGTATTGACACCAGCAAAGGAATCAATGAAACTCAGAGTAAAGTATCCAACTGCTACTGATCACAGATGGGTTGTAGTTAGCAATAGAATCCAGGATATACTTCTCGGCCTTTTTGAGACTCAGCAGTTGGATGTATCTGCATTCCATTGTTGATTTTAGCGTTGAGATTCAAACCAAGTGTATTTTACATTAAACATACAATGCGTTATTCAATGAATTACTAGGTCTAGATAGCCATTAACTTGTTCAATGACTACGATATTCATGTAATTATTAGTAAAAGTTTGATTGATCTATTTGTTAATATTTAGGATGGAAATGTGATCAGTCTCTATTGGTTTATGTGTGTCTCATGTGGATTACTTCGATCTAGACAATTTGTCACGAGTTATTTTGAATAGATGGATACAGTTATATCTAGTTAACGAATCCCAAATAGAAGAAACACAGGTCCTGGATTCTAGTGCTAACTAAACTATATCTATCCAAAATAACATGTAACAAAATGGCTATATTGAGGCAAACCACACAGGATACTGATATGCCGATATAGACTGACCAAAATTCAGTTTATAATATCGATAACGGCATAAATCATCTTTCATATATAAGACTCACCAGTAATCCATAAGCACAATACTAGTTGTCCCCAAATGCCCTGGTACGACCGAGAGGGGGAGTCAGCTTTCCATCTCCAAATATTCTCACATATGCACGTGCACATAACCACTTTCAGAGGAGTCCTACTCACTGTATTCTCTCACCAAGGGTGTTGTTTACGAAATTGAGAGGACGAAAAGTGAATATCCGGAGCTTTAACCAGGTTGGTGGACATGGAGGGTTCACCTAGGGGCATTGGAAAACCCTGAATCCAAATCAATGGTGCATATAGGCTCCTGGATCTTGAAGGAACAAATGGCGTACGAACCTGTTGTCCATCACCGGCTACCATGGGATTGCATTATCCAATGTTGTTTCACTGCCTTGTGGATTAGACCTTTAGGTCAAAGGCTCCGTTTGTGACTTACTAAGAAAACCACCTGTTTCGGTTTGGGCACACGAGTAGTATCATAGCCCTCATACAAATCGAATGATTTATGTGATACATATGTATTCGATGCCTCCTTTTACGAATATTTATGTGTTCAACTAAATAAATAAATAAGTATGTTAAAATTGAATGTCATAATTCTCAGTTTATGGATTATGTTACATAGATAATTAAGGAAAGATCAGACAAGATAGATACATCCAATTTTTTTGTCTAATTCATTATTAACTTTATGTGTCGAATTATGCTTAGAATTTTCAGTTATTGATATTTGTTTACTATTATTGTAACAGAAAATTTGGATTCAATACCCTGATTGGGAAAGAAAATGAATGAACCAATCAGATTTAAGATGTCTCCTCTTAAGTTTTTCACGGGAAATTCAATACTCTTTAAAGGATAAAATATTCTATATTAAGAACTAAATATCTAGTTCAGAAAATGCTTAAAATTAATAAGAAAATCTTTATATACAACCATCAAGTGAGTGTAACATAGTGTGTCAGTTAAATTACATGGAGTATCTATCAGTGATGCAGATTGCTTCTTAAAGCACTTGATTTAATTCAGTACATACTCGAGAGTGTGTAGATAAAAGTATTGTGACTCTTCTAACTCTGTCACTCTTAACCTTAATTTGTGATATTAGCCCAACTCCGAGTATCTAATCCATTAATTATCAGACTCGTAGTTCACACTACCTATTCGGATTTGGGCGACTGGGTAGTATCTTTACCCATCACATTTCAAGTTTGGCTCATATCTGAGTGCCTAACAAAAGAATTAATGCTTAATCGGCCGTGGCCCGGATAGCTCAGTGGTAACGTCTTTGATTATGAGGCTGGGTGACACAAAATCGAATCCGTCAGGGAGCATCAGTTCCCTCATGATTACAAGTGCACCTTGTTGACGAATGCCAAGTAGCATGAAACCTAGGTCCAGGTTTCCTGTTAACTACCTTTAACCATCATCTTATCTAGACATGCTTTTCGTTCAGATGGGACGGCATATGCATAATTAAATGTGGATGTATATCAATGACACGACCTATACGATCGGATACTAGTATGATATTTATTTAATGACTATGTCGTCCTGTCTAATACAGTCCATGAAAACTAACGATACTGACATCTAGTGTTGATCACATGATGAACTATTCATTTTAAGGAATTATTTACCACTAACTACTTAACAAAAACCATAGTTATCATTGAAATGTGGCAAAATTTGAGATAAAAAAACTTTTTCACTCTCAATTTCTTTACTACTTACAATCAAATGATTTTCAGTAGTAAACCAAATTACTAAAAAAAATTAAAACCTTTCCTTTTATTTACTTATTATGAAAGCTTGAAGTAGATGATCAAATCCGTTTATTATGTGGTTGTTGTATTGATCTGATCACTTTAAGAGCAGCTTATTATATCAGTAAATCAGCTAAAGTTCAAGGATTAGTTGATAATGCATTATTGATTAGAGGTTCCATAACAACAACAACAACAGCAACATCGTCATCAAATTTACCTAATCAATATAATACAACCATACCACATATACCTAATCATCATTATCCAAAACTTGGTATATCTGATGAGAAATATGCACAATTAATTCGTGGTGTAGCATTAAAAATGGCACGTTTAAACATTGATCAAACTGATATAGCCATGATGGCAGCTATTTTATTAATGTCTCCTGGTAAGTAAAATGCTTAGTTTGTAATTTATCAAATTTTCGCATGAATGTTTCCATTTAGATCATTGCAAATTGATGTATTTAGATTATTATTTCTTTCTTTCTTTCTGTCAATTCCATTTTTAGCTTTAAAAAAAACGAGGTCAATTTAAGGACATTCCATTTTTGATCAATGTTAAGTTATCAATGAGTTCAATGTTTTGAATCATATATATATATTCATTGGTTAATTTTACATTATTATCGAATGTTTGTATCACTTTAGGATTGTTTAGTTAGACAGAGATATTAATTTCTTTAAAGGATTAGGACAATCAATTATATTGATTAATCTAACGAATAATAAACTATCTCAAAAGGGATTTTTGTGGATATTATAGTAATTTCAATGGTTAAAATTGAAGTTAGATCATCATGGAAAACCTGGAAGCACTGTTTGGTCGTTTCGTCCTATTGTGGGACTCTTTGGCAATGAGCATCGACGATCCTGCCTCGCGGGATTCGGACCCAGGGCTGTCAGTCTCGTGCATTAACGATTAACCTCTGGGCTAGTCGGCATCCAACGGTGTTAGACATGGTGGTCTAACATCCATCGGTTCATGATTTCAATCAAAATAGTAAATAAATTGTACACAGTGTGAAAGAAAAATTAGGACTTGAAAGAAGACAGGTCCTTAAATAGTTAGTTAGGGTTATAGTTCTAGAAATTTTTATTGGTGAATAGAAAAACGTTTGGACGTATTAGGTCAAATCATTAAATTATGATTACGTTTAATTGAACAAAAAAGGTCAAGATGTTACCAAGGCATTCAGATGTTAACTATTAACCCAAAGGTCAAGTATAAGCCTTCTAGTTGCCACAGTTTCCATTAATTTTAATAATTTGGAATTTGGGTTGTTTATTAATGGCTTTGAATAAGTTCTTTAAATTCATATTGTGTCCCATGTTTAATAAGTGATTTACTACTGAACTTCATAAACAACTTTTACTTCAAAGGTATAACTGTTTTGAAGATGAATATTAAGACCCTCAAGACCAGTGGAGTTCAGCTGGGTCTGTTGTGAGATAGTAACTCATTGATGACAACGGTGAACAGTGGCACAACTTCGTGGATTGGTTGGAGTTAGACGTTAACACCGTTGGATACCGGATCAGTGGTCTAGAAGTTAAGCGTTCGCGCACGAGACTAATAAGTTCTGGGTTCGAATCTCGCGGGGTGGGATCGTGGACACACATTGCTGAGGAGACCCATACTAGGACGAAACGACCATGCATGCTTTCAGGTTTTCCATGGTGATCTAGCCTCAAATGATTCATGATCTCAACCACTGAAATTACTATAATATCCACAAAAACTCTTCTCTGATTATAATTTCATCTTTATGCCTTTCCAATGTATATACATTTTACATGTAAATTGATATATCCATTTGTAAGTAACATATGACGGTTATCTATCTAATATCGTTTATATTACTTGGCACAGTATTGTGTATAGCTTAATCAACTTGACAGAGGGGGGAATTAACAGTGACCTTAGTATTGTTTTGCTTGAATCTTCCCAATGAAGTTTAAGACTGCAGTTGGTCAGTCCTGTATTGGCATATGTGCATACTGTGTGTATTGCCTCGGTATTGCCTTGATTCACAAGCATTATAAGCAAAGATAAATAGTGGCTAGCAGTGGAATCCAGTTTGACGCGCGTTTCGTCCTATTCGGGACTCGTCAGCAGGATGTGCCTGCATCTCAGAGTTGATGTGCACTCTAGGACTCGAAAAGCAAATGTCTATCATGATTCTGTAGCTGAGTGGGTAACCGATGGCATTTGAAGCGAATGGTACTGGATTCGAGTCCCAAAGTGAACTCTTAGATGCGGGTACATCACCTGACGAGTCCTAAATAGGATGAAACGCGCGCTCTGGACTCCACTGCTAGCCACTATCCATCTTTGCTTAACAGTGTATCCTTTTTATATTTTCTCTTGAACTGGTATGTTAAAAATTGTGCAAGTTATATATATATATGCTGGTTTTTATTTCAAGTAGTCATTTTTCTACTTTCTCAAATTATTAGTAGTATAATTTATATTCTTAAATATTTCGAACCACAACATTACAGTTAGTGACATTGTTGTGAACGAGAACACATGTGAGAACAACCGGTTGTGTTTTGATACAAAACTATACACTGAATACTTCATTTGTAAAATTGCATCATTTGTCCTCTCCATTCTGTATGATTCTTCCAGTTCACAATTCCTTTCTCTCCTTACAATCTTCTTAGCCTTCTGCTGCCATATTTTTTTCACTTCCGATTGGTGTTGCATAGTACTTATGTCTTCGGACATAAGTAGCATATACCATGATATTACGCAGCTATTCAAAGTGAGATAGGTGGGATAGGTTTCAGAATTTGGAGTTGATATTTGAAACTCGAACCCTGACACTCACTAAGCAATCAATCCATATGAGATAAAGATTAACATTTGCAGTAAAGATGAGGCTAAAAACATTTAATTTACACTATTACACACAACATTGGGATTAAAACATCAATTTCGACTAGTTCTGCAGTGATTTTTATCATTATTATTGTCTTTTGTTAGCTGTACAATCACTTACTCATGTTAGTTATCCGTCCCCTTCCACACTCATGTCTCTTACCTACCATGTGGTCCCGGAACATCATATGATTCATCCAGACTTAGTAATGTATTTCACTTATCAAGGCAGGTAGTGTAAAACGAATATTCGTCAATGTTTTTATTCAATGGTTATAAATCCAATTGATTTAATCACTAATCTATCACACCAAACACATCTTTAATTAGTTTTGCATAGAGTAAGAATAATGATTGAATTAAGATTATGTAAATTAATTATATAATGGCAAGTTCGTTCCAACTGGGTAAGATCTTATCTGTCAGCCATTCGTTATTGTTCAAAGTAGGGCTTGTCACAAATGTATGTTAGCACAAACTGCTGTACCACATTAACGCTGCAAGATGAGCTTAAATAGTACAGCAGTTATCATTTTTAAAAAAATACTATATATTGAGAACACTGTATAAAAGACGGAATGAAAAGAAGATACGTATGAAGGAGTAATGAGACTCAGGGTAAAAAGTAGGATGAAGAATAAATGTATCTGCATTGTTGTCACCCGTTCTAAGCCACTTTGCTCAATGCCTTCAACCACCAGGTTATATGCATCTACTTACTTGGCCAACACCAATAATCATTGATTTCATATTACTTACTTACTTATACTTACGCTTGTTACTCTCAATGAAGCATAGGCCGCTGACCTGCATTCTCCAACCAACTTTGTCCTCGGCCTTCCTTTCTAGTTCTATCCAATTGTTGTTCATTCTTCTCATGTCTGTCGCCATTTCTCTGTGTAATATGTCCTTTGACCTTCTTTTTTTCCGTTGGCTTGAGGAGTCCATGTGAGGGCCTGCTTGTGACGCAGTTGGGTACTTTCTTCAATGTGTGGCCTATCCACTTCCAACGCTTGTTCTACTGGAATCTAGTTTGTTCTCTCCCATAGTATACTGTTTCTGATACTTCGTATACCAATGTTATATTTTGGTTAGGTTTCTCATAGCCGTTTTTTAATATGCTCATTGTTACTCAATATCTGTATACTTCTCATTATCAATTAAACTAAATATCTTTTATTTCCTTCATATTTTTGTATAACAATTAGATCGAAATGATTTATTGGATGTAGAAACTATAGAGAATAATCAAAATAATCTTTTAGAAACATTTAATCGTTATGTGAATCGTACACGTGGTCAAATAAGACAATCTAATACTTATCCAATACCTAGTTCACAATGTTGGCCAAGAATTATTATGACATTAACTGAATTACGTTCAGTTACAATGTGTGCACAAGATTTATTTTCACAAACATCTGGTACTACTACTACTACTAACAATAATACTACTGATAATAATAATCAGTTACCATGGTATCTTCATGAATTATTTTTAGCTGATGAAGTAATAAACACTGTAGAATAAATGATATTGAAGCAAAGAAATCTATTATGCATTTGTGAAGTATTGCATTAATTCATGTTTTATATTTCTAATCCTATTTAACATTCTATTCATGAAATGTATATTGTGTCATAGTAAATACTAATCATGAAAGGAACTCATTCTTATCCCTTCAAAGGTTCTATACGGGTATCTAATGTACTTACTAAAAAAGAAAGACTGTCATGACATAAACCCAGTAAAACTTTATTTCTTTTTTGACCTTATCAAGCAAAAAACTACACATCAACAAAACTTTTTACATACATTTAAATAAGAGGAAGAAGACGAAGAAAAAAAGAGAAAAGGGAAAAAAGGAAAAAAGAGCCCCTCCCCCGTCACACTTCATTTTTCATTGTTTATTTCTTTATCCATTTAGTCTTCTTCATACAAAATACTTTAATAAATGAATGAATGAATGTGTGTGATAAACCAAAATCAATTTTGATTTCGGTGTTAAGTCTTTTCACAAGTTTTTTTTATTTCAAGAAAAAAAAAGAGAAAAAAAGAATTCAGAGTTTTATTCAATATTCACTATTTACAAAAAGAAAATTTTTTTATTGATTATTCATTTTTTTCAATTATGTAATACATGTTGAAAGGGGGGCAGCATATTAGTCTCAGGGAATTTTATATTTGCACTTTACTCTTTTGTTTCTCTTGTTTTTTGGTTGCTATGGTTGTTGTTGCCGTTTTTCTTTTTTACATCAAAGAAAATTATCCGACCAGCAAAGTAAACCAAGAAAGAAAAAAATCTTTTTCTCTTGTTAATTACCTCATTATAGTGTCATTATGAATTTGACAGACTGAATGTTGAATAGTTTGTTTGATTGTTTTGTGTATTTGAGAGAGGGGAGAGAGAGGGGGGTGAAGAGACAGGAAAGGGCAGGGGAGTTAAAGGAAAGAATATATTATTTTATAGGCTCAATGAATTAAACCTGTGATTATTATACATTCATTCAGTTAGTCAATTTTCTGTTCGATCCTTTTTGTTTTGTTTTGTTTTTCTTAACGAACAATTGGCTGATTTTGAGAAAAAGAAAACTTTTTAATAAAACTGGTATTAGAAAACTATAGTATACCATTTACTTCACATCTTTAATTTATTAGTCTATACTACTACTACTACCATTACTACTACTACTACAACTACTACTACTAATAATAATAATAGTACTATTATTGATAATATCAGTAATATTGTTTTTATTAATATATACGTATACCTAGTGTTTTGTAATAAATGATTGTTTAAATGATCTTTCTTATTACAAATCAGTTATGGAGTTGTTGTTGCTGGGGTTTTGTTTATGAAAATAATTGTATTATTTAATGGGATTAGTGATTAATTCACTTAGTTTGAATGTATGAAATCAATGAACTGTCAGCTTCCTTTGACAGTGCGATAATAAAATGAAATTAGTATTTAACTTTTTTATCTAAGGTCCAGCTTCCCACACTCGCTTCCCTGATATTCAAAATAAAATAAAACACTATTAGAAGATTAACTTCTATCCTACAACTTACTGATATACGATGATGGTAATGTTGAGTAAGTTGCTAAGCCTGCATCAGGCACAGCTGGTCGAAGCAGGAGATTGTAATCCATTGATGAGCATGTGTTTGTCAGATTTCCTCTTGAAGCTATCGCGAGTAAGGGCAACTCTTAATGAGAAAATGTAGTGGCGCACCTGTGTTTTTTCTCTTTGGCATGTTGCTTCGAGGAGTGTGGTGGTGAAGTTAGGATAGGATTCACATGTTGTGGTGATTTGATGTACTTACTACGTTGTATTATCTATTATTCCTGAATAGCTCAGCGAGAATAATCCCAAGTGTTAGAGTCTGTTTTTGTATGATTTTGTTTTAGACTAATCAGTCACCTAGCTGCCCGTCTCAATAATTGGTCTAAGAGATTTCATGCCTCTTCTAGAGAAAGGGGACGTGAGAATATTGCAGACTTTAAGATAAGGCAGTTTGCATGTCTTAAGAGGAGTAAGAAGCAATACAGGTTGACTGTCTCCAGATCTTCTTATCATTTGTATAAACTGGTTCTTCCGAGCTACATCTATCTAGAAGGTTGTTGGTAAGGATCAGGAATAGGAGCGAACCTAAGATGGTTCTCCGTGAAAATTCTAATATCAAGATCATCTAGCTCGCGCGCACTCTATTTACCTTGGTACGGTAAATCCTATTCTCCAGGTAGTTTTGTAGGCAAGAAGGGAACGAGTTAGTGAAAATCATCTTTCAAACCTTCTATATGAGGAGTGCTTGCTATATTGTGTCTGAAGCTACTGCAAAGTTAAAGAATATAACCTGAACTGGTATTATTCAAAATTCTTCCGGCTGTATCAGGTCTGAAGGGCCTCAGTTAGGTCCTCCTCGTTTTTTGAATTCACAGCCACTATGTGACATGGTGTTCGTGAGCCTCATTCCGACTACCATCTATCAACTCCGATCACCACCATGCCCGTTAGTTCATGGGTGTTTGCTGATCTTCTAGAGGTATCTCTTACGACACACGTCTTGTGTGCTGTTCGGATTTGAGGAGACCGTTTTATCGATGGTTTCTGATATGCCTCTACGATTTATTCTGTGAAGTTTGCTGAATTTAGAGTTACTTTGAATGGGGTAGGTTTGCTTTTCGCTAAATTGTGACCTCTTTTCAGACACCACACTTTTTCTGATGTGGTACCAGTTTCATCACTTGTACAATGCTTGCCCCATTTTTCCTTTTGAAAGGCTGCTCTACGTCCCGGTAAGCTACTCCCGACGCTGAACCACGAAACATAACCAGAGATTTTCGCTCTGCGTCGTTATTCCCAGTTTTCTAGCTGTTTTGGGAGCTATGGTGATGCAACTTTCTTGCGTAATTGCCACCCGATGCGCCTTACCTTTAAATGGATACTGGGGTGTTTGAAGCAGTTGGTAATTTCTTTAATATGCGGGCTTGGGTTGTGGCTTTTATGGTCGCGTGTATGGGTGGGCCAGTGTTGAACAAATCGGGCATACCAGTATAGCTTGATACGGTTATTTTCGACGGAGTCTTACACTTCATTTGTAGTTAGATCGGTAAATTTTTCTAAATCTGTGCGTACATGCTGCAGTATCACAGAGACAACGGATTCAACCACTGCAGAAATATCATTCGAATTCTTGGTTTATGAATTTAACGAACGACAACCGTGCAACACGATCATCGTTATTGTGTCCTTTCTCCCACTCAGGCTGCGTTACTGACAATTTGGGACGACCTTTACCTATCATTTATTTGCTGACTGCCAATCTTACCAGGAGTAGAAATTTTGGTGGTAATGTGACCCTGATTACTTAACTGGATACTTAATTTTGGCGTTTGGGCTAGTGATTCACGTATACATTATTCTGAGGCCTACCATCTAGTGTCAATTCGAGATTTCTCATAACACTTTCGTTATATATAGAGATTGTTGACATATTATCAAACCCCAAATCAAAACCTCTACTAGTCGTCCTTGTAGTTATGGTGTAATTACTGGTGACGAAGACATTACTGTGCATGTTTCTCACTAGATTAAATGGTAGAAAGTAGGACAACTGAAGAAGAGAATACACAACATTTTTATTTCGAAGGAGAAAAATAATAAAAATAAGGGAGTATATGCCACACAAGAATAGAACCTGAAAGACGCTGAAAAATGGAACTTTGCATTTAACCGTCGTCACATGCAACCCTATGTGGATCTAAGCAACTTTTCTACAAATCCGGTGTTTGTCAGTGAATAAGCATCTGCACTCTGCAGTTAAAGCAACTAGGAAGAGAGCATTTGATCAAGACAGCTAGAACTTATTGCTTAGAGTTTCAATATTAGTATGGCTATGATTGTCATATATGTTATGATGGTCATCAACCAACAAAGAGGGACGCAGTTCGTGTCCCTAGAAATGACGTGATGTTTCACTTTGGTAGTGGAAGCTGGATGGTTCCCGTTATTGTTAAGAGGTCATCGAGGTGATGTCGGACTAGGAGAGTCAACATGTTATATTATTAGCATTTTTCGTGCACCGTAGAATCAACCTTTTTGACGACAAGGGATGAACTACAATAAAGCAGAGGGCAGTCGCTCATATCAGGAAGCATATGACGGTTAAAACGTCCATTCGTATTTCGTTAACTGAATGTCTAGAGACAGGTGAAAATAACACCACATGTCTAATGAGTGGGATGTATTGTCCTATATATGTGGTATGGTGTTTATCATTATTACCGTTATTAATATCATTATTAGTTCCCAGACAATGTAAACACCAACTACTTCAAGTGGCTTCCGCGGCATTATTTTCACGATTTAATCAAATCATCGTAGCAATTCATCAAAAATTCCACTAGCTGCCTAAAAATCTATGCATCTATTAAACGCATCCAAATACCAGCTTTTGTTGTCAGTATTAAACTTGTGAGATTTAGCCATGGTAAACCATCAGACTATCAGGAAGCACTGCAGACTAAAATGGATCTTGTATCTAAATCATAATCACTGATAATAAGTGAAATTAATTTATCATCAAAGCCAATACGACTTGTACTCTCGTGAATGAGTCGGTAAACAACATCCAAGCCACAGCCTATCACAGTACAAAATGACTGCTTTTTGCTGTAAGTGTAGTGACTCACATTTATCACGAGAACACGACTGGTTTAATAAAAGCAATTATTATTATAACCAACTGTACCAGTGTTTGTTTTAACGTGCTTTTGTTTGACTGTGCTAATGTTAGCTATTTTGTGCTTCCATTCTTACTTACACTTCGATTGTAACTTCGCGCGAATTCGGTTACCTTCTGTAACCAAGGTTTATCCTGGCACGATCTCGGTATCCTTTCGATGCCACGAGATCGCCAGCAAATACCCCGACTTGGTCCATTAATTGCCTTCTGATATTTGGCTTCTCGGAGATTTTATGGATCTATTTGGTACGTCCAACCCTCGCCTTCTGATTTTTTGGCACGTGTTTCTTGGTAGCAGTGTTCATAGTTAATCACAACTCGACACCACGCTAAGGTATACCAAAGAGGGGATCCAGGTTTAAGTTCTCATGGAATTTTATTCGGCTAGCTTTTAGGGGCCACGATCAAGCCAATATATTTGAAACTAGAAATCATGGTTAATTACAACTAATTAACATATTTTAAGGTTACCTGATTTATCTTTATTGATTCATGACCCAGAACAAGATCATAAACGTCCTCACTCTTAAAATACTATGTAGTGACTACTCCATCCGTTGTCATCAACACTTTATTATCTGGAAAAAGTCTTACCAGTGCCATCTGCAAATAGATGCCTTAAACACTAGCGTTGGCTACTCAGGCGAAACAACATAAACGTATATTCACAGACATTTGAGTATGATCAGTGGCATTCCAAATGTATAAATGGTCTCTTAAAACCCATACACGTTCCTACAAAAAGAGAAGGTTAAATTTCAGAAAATGGTAAGTGTCCCACTATAAGGGCCTTATGAATGAGGGTGTTAAACTGTAAGCTGATTAACCTTGTGGTTAGTTGTTCGCTCTTTGCAACAGATCGACAAGTAGCAACGTGATCGAAGTTTACAGCTTACGACTTAGCTTGGGTCGCTTAAAAAGCATGTTTTTATGTCTGGACTATCATGAGAATCTGAAAAAAAGCCACCACGGTTCTGACTACCAAAAGACGCACAACCAAGTGTGATCTACTTCTCATAAGAGCTAATTAAAATAGGGCTTAAGTGAAATGTACGACTATTCTTCAAGAACTGAAGCAATGGATTAACAAATATGATATATTGTTAATATGTATCGTAATTTCCTGCATATTCCAATTTCTGACTTACCCCCTAATTCCTCCGCATTCTGTCGTTCTTTATAGCTTTTAACTTTGCAAACGAAGAGGACTTAGAAATTCTGCCACTGATAATAGGTGAAGAACCCAAATTTTAAAGAAAGCTGCCAAAACATCAAATTGACATTAGATAATGGGTATCAGGCTAATGCACATAGTTTACTCTCACGACTCAAACACCTGTATCCAGTACATCATTAGACAATCAGGATCACATCTAAACCCCATATTTCTCTCCCTAGTGCTATACCCAAGTGACGAGAGAAAAAATCCGAAACTAGTTGCTCAGGAATATTGATAAAGGTATGGTGGTCATTGTAAATAATGGTCTTCACTAAGCAGAGTAAGTGACGTGTTATCTTGATACAATTTTCGCTATCGTACTGTCTAGTAATAATAGTAAGGTATTTCCACATAGCAATGTGTTAAATCTGTATTACTATAGTCCGATCAATATGACAGACTTTTTGTTGACCACTCATGTCCGTAATTTCTCAAGCTCAATGGAATCTGCAATTACGGTGACCCCAAATGTTGTCCTGAAACATTATTACGGTCAGCCATAAGGAAATTGAGAATTAAAACAGTAAAACCAATTGCTCTAAATTTACACCAGTAGTACAGAGTTGTTTTATGATATTATTCCTTATGTTTGACATTCGTGATATTGAGAATTACCGTTCACCACTACTGCATTCAAATTGAAGGGCTTCAGTGTCTAGTGTTTTGCAAGAAACCATCCTGGGCTCTCAGCTGCTTCTCATGTATATCAAAGACCTACTAGAATGCCCAGGTTCACCTGCGCTTTTCAGAGAGCCACAAGGTGTGGAGAAGATTCACAAGAAATAGAAGATATTTAGCATTACCTCAAAATGCACAGAAAATTATGGTTTGAAACTCAACGTCGTAAATTATTAAACGATGCTCTTCTAAAACACAGAAGAATATCAGATTAGCTACTTACTCCGTAGTAATAATGATTTCTCCTGGACATCGATGGAGAGCGTTGGGATTTCAAGCGGCTGGGTATGTCAGCTTTACAGAACAATCTACAGCAAGTGGATTTGGATCTCCAACGTCGACTTGATGTGAACATTCACCATGATATTTTACTGCATACGATCGTACGTGCTACAAATTAATCCGTTTCGTAAACGGCCACTAAAATTATGAGCAACGTGCAGTCATAACGAGTCACACTCTTCAAAAGATAAGACTAGAGAGATACTAACGAGCAGATTACAAAGGAACTAGTGAAGACGGCACATAAAAAAGTTCAAACAAGCAAGGATCAGTGCTAAAAACCGATAAAATAGGATAGACTTCAGTACCAGATAAAGCAAATCTATGAATTTTTCTCCAACCCGAAAAGATTATCCCGTCATTCAACATCTCTTCAAAAATTCTGAGCTGGAGTCTCCTAGTTGTTAGGACCTGATGGCCCGATCGACAACGACGGAGATGCCAGAAAGCTCCTGGAGACTAATATATTCAGACGTTTCAACAGTCACATGCAAAATACGTCGATGAGAGCTTTACATACAACCTGAATTCAGTCTGAGAAGTGATCTGTACGTTGGAACGGTTTATCAAAGACTGCAGCATTGAAATAAATATGTGTCTTTCCATTTATTCTGCTATACAGAAAAAATCGTCTGCAATCTTGGAACACCGTTCTATGTAACACTCGCAGATTTTCTGAGCTGAGGCACAGCCCCGGAAAATTGGAACTTGGCTCACATTACACTAATTTTCACAGGAGGCAAACTCAGTGAACCTTCAGACTGCCGGACAGTAGCACTCCTGTCGTTACACTATAAGCTTAGAGTGCTAGATACACGACGGTCTGTGTGACTGCTCGTTATCCATAAACTTTCTTCATCCCAACAACACGTTTCCAGGAAGGATTACTACTATAAACCAACCTAGTGAATGCGGTTGATAGATAAACAACCATTCATGATCTCAAGGGGAAAGTTGACGTCACAAACTTTTACTTCTCAGAAGCTTTTGACACGGTCAGTCATATATTTCTCATCAATAAGCTCAAAATCGTAGGCATCGGGTCACCGTTAATGAACTGGGTTGCTTTAGACAGAAATGATAGTTCACATTTCCTTAGGCTACAGAATGTCCCTGTGGGGCCACCCAAGACTCAGTACTAGGATCTCTTCTCCTTTTAATTTATATAAATGACTATCCTCAGGAAGTATGATCCGATTTATCACTTTTCGCTGATGACGTGGAACTTTAGAGAGAAGTTCGCAACTAAGGTAGCAATTAAGGAGGATTTGGTTCGACCTCAATGCTGGACAAGTAACGACAGACTTACTTTTAACACTTCAAAGTATGAGGTAATCTATCTGAGACACGTCGCAGACTATGCGTACAACTTCTCTAGAAGTGTCCTAAGTTAAAAATGATCAAGGGATCGTGGTACCATAAAGTCTAACGTCTTACACTAGCTGCGACAAAAATGCTTTTCAAGCAAGCCTTGCACTGATAATGATGAAGCTCATCTTTAGTCAGTTTGATAGGAGAACTTTCCACTTAATGCTTTACAGTTTTATATATACCTCATTTAGAAAATGGGAATATAGCGTCCTCTCCCTCACTCTTAAAGGATGAGAATACACTGGGTCGAGGTAAGCCACGGAATCAGTCCGAAGACTCGAATTCGAACTTTACGAAGAGCCCCTCAAATCACCGAATCTTTGTCCATTAGAGTACGGACGTCTCAGTCGTGACCTTTTAATGGCATCCTAAACACTCCTGAGCACCCATTTAAATACTTCGTTGTGCTATGTCCCAGCACATACCTTAGAGGTAACATTCAGAAATTAGAGACTTAACTTGACGAAATGGAACGTAGAGACACCTTTTGCTACTTATGTGCAGTTAAATTCTTGAACTTGCTGCCAGATGAGGTAGTCAAGGCGACTTCCCAGGAGTAAGCTTGACATATTATTAGGGACTCAGGACAATATTTCGCTACGATTTGATATAATTTCTCTTTTTCACCATTAACCTTACTTAGGTTCGTATCTTAAGGTATCGGTTGCTCACGGATACTGGATACGGAATCCCATTAAGCTAAAGCTTCAGCCACAACCATTTGAATCATTTTGGATATAAAAAACTCCCGTCATTTTTGAAATTTACGTTACAGGTCCGTGTGATGGCTTTGGTTTCCTATGGGAGTTCGGGGGAGGAATCTAATGGTAGGTTTAGCGTAAAAGTCACGGTTTTATCAACAAGATGATGAAGAAGATTTGGTTGTCAGCAATGAGAGTACTACAACAACTAACAGCATATTGAAAGACCGAGTTGAACCTGAGTTTAAAATGAGAGTCCCTAAAAGTGCTAAGCTACCTAACCTTGTCCCAAACATTCCTATTGTCAAAACAAAAGACGGTAAGGTTTTGCTTTCCGTCCCCGATTTGGAAGCGGTAAGTACATATTTATTGTACAATATCGTGCATACTTTTAATTTATTTGCAGTTGGATTCGTCAGATGACAGTGACGATGAAAGCAGTCGTTCAGCTAAGAATAACAAGGTACGTACGTTACATGCCAGTTTTCCTTCAAATGAATTTTGATGCCATCCGTTGTGTTATATTTATTTTGTGTAGTCACATGAGATGTTGCTTTGTGGCCGTTGTAATGAATCTATGAGTTATGTGATTTTGTTTCACCTAAGGATGTTGGTTACAATGTCTCTAGAGCTTTGTTTTTTTCCGCCCAACATTAGACATGTCGAATGCTTGGCCAGACAAAATAGGTAGTAGTTTTCTTAGTTTATTATTAGGGAATCTTACGAAGCCCAGAGATCAAGCACCTTACAGTCAGGTTGTAAAACAAAAAAGTCCATTTTGATTTAAACAATGTCTTACCCAGGCAATCAGAACAGGGGGGGGGGTAATGGTGAGAATCTTGATAATTTTAGGGAAAAGTCTACTTTTTTCCCAAATGGTAGACTTTTGAGGGAACATCTCAGTAAAGAGTAAATTCGCTGACACATTGAAACAGAGCAGCTCTTAGCATCTAATTAATGGCTTCAAAACTTCGTTATATGTGGTGAATCTTTGTTCCCCAACATAGCTCAAGTTAATTGTTGTTTATTTATAGATGAGTACCTAATTGAGATAAGTCTCAAAAGTTCCCACCTTCAATTAATCTAATATATCACTTTACTTTGAGTTGTTGTTTCCCAAATAAAACACCACAACCACGTGATTAGACAAGTTAATAATCACATTGGATGTTCGTAATCCTACCACACAAGTAAGGTTTGTTTCTAAGTTTGATGTGTTAGTCCTAGTATTTAACGATTTGTGCTTATGGTTTAGCTTAACGTTATGGTATTTTCTATTAAAACTTGACAAATCCTTGACAAAATGTTGGCTTCAAGAAGGCTATTATCCGAATCGTTATTATCTGGTGTTAAAACTATGGAGAAAAGTATACCGCCTGCCACGTGTTTTAAAAATGTGGGTTATTGACTCATCATCTTGCAGTGAAAATACATTTGAGAGTGGCAATAGGATCCTAATTCGGAAGAGAGTTGTACATTATTCTGAAATCTTAACCCATTATTTTAAAATCTAAACATAACTTATGTATTTTCAGACCCCCCTCCTACCTGTATTAGCTTTCTTAAGTCTCTTGCAATTAAGTTTTCATATAACTCTACAGAATTGTTTTTTCAGTCATTAGCTTTGATTCTTAAGTTATGATTTGCATATGTTTATTAATGTTTTCAAAATTGTCCTCCCATTGCTTACTTAAAAAATTCCGTTAAACGAATTCTCTTCGGTAAATCAGGCGTAAAACTTAAGTGTATATTTCATATTGCAAGAAACCACAGTAATACTGCTTCATTAATATATTTGTTCTTAAAGCGATCATTAGTGAGATAGTTTACTTTGTTGTCTATTAACCTTCACCCCTAAATGCCCTGGTACGACCGACGGTGAGGAGAGTCAGCTCTCTCTCGAAACGCTCTTATATGGCCACGCGTATACAGCCACTGCCAGGAAAGTCCTACTCACTACCTTCTGGTAGCGGGGGCGTTATTTACGAAATTGAGTGGACGAAAAGCGATGTCCGGTTCTTTAGGCGGGTTTGTGAATATGGAGGATCCACCTAGGGAAGTTGGAAAACCCTGGTTCTAAACCAGTGGTGCACATGAGCTCCAGGATCATGAGCAAACAAATGGCGTATGGACCAATCGACGGTCTTCGGCTACCATGGAAATGCATTTGAGAAACCATGTGATGTAGCTGGTTTTGATAAAAATCTTCGATAAACCCTAACTAAACCAATAGCATTATAGTAAATAGCTTTCTGTAAGTTTATGTACTTTGTGTTATTCATGCCTCTAGAAAATGAAGAATTAGTTTATGAGTCTACAAACGGTGCTTATACTTACTTTCTGTTCGATACGAGAAGACCTATCCTGATTCTCTCTAACTCGTTCCCGTTGCATTTTTAACGGCACCAGATTTTGCGGCTTATGTCGAACTCACTACTACGTGACCTTAAAAACGTTGCGGTTAAAAAATGACTATTGAATGAGTCATATGCTTAATCCTGCCCTTATTAATTATATAAATATATCTTAAAGTATATTACCTAATATTCCTGATTTCTAATGACATACTAAAGCTGTTTAGATATACTCAATAGATCGTTTAATATCAAAAATAGAATGAATAACTATATCCTTATTTGGTCACTTGATTTTTTCCAGCCTAGTCTTGTCCCATCCGGTAAAATATAACTATCACTAAACCCGTAGAATTTTTAGTACGCCTTACTACTCAAATTTGTGAAAGTTTACATTCCTATCAAGTGATTTAGCTAATTTACCTAGAGCATGGTATCAACGTTTGACGCCCAATTACTTCAATGTATACGAGCCAAGTTAAGAAGACATCCATGGTCAAATACCTATGGTCTATGAATGTCTCGTATTTTCAATCCCTATTTTTCATAAACATATTGTAGTTCAGAACATAATTAGAAGGCGATATATTGAAGAAAGGAAGCGTAGAGATTTAGAGACTATATCATGGCTTATTTTACATGTATAAATAAGTTTATTGCAGTTTGTCAGGTCTAAGCTTAGAATTGTCTTGTTGTAGTAAATGGCTTTATATCCCCTAAGAGTCAACTTATTTCATTGGTTAATGAGGTGATACCCTGAGACTAGTATTTACGCATCGATAATCATTGTCGATAAGCTGTGCTTTTACACCAAAGAGACACACTACTTGAATTTACACAAGACTCACATTATATTAAAATTATTCGAGCTCCCATCAATTACTAGTCACAATTAAACTTTTGGTAATAGCTAGCCCATTGACATGGCTATTAGGTGTAAATTAGACTAAATTTCATGACGTTGCTTCTTCAATTAGATTTCTACATGGTTTTGATTTTATTGACAGTTATAAATGTCTAAGTCATTTGTGATTGTATTCTATTTGCAGTCCTATCGAAATTCTAAACCGGGAACAGATAAAGTTAGCCTTCTTTCTGTCCTTCCACCAACACGTGCACTTATTGTCCGAGAAGGGAACAGACCAATGATACCACATCAACTAATATCTAAAAAGAATACAAGTCATACTATTAAAGAGACATTGACTATGAAAACCAAACCTGAAAATGTTGGACAGAAACCAGGCTTTCAGAATAACAACGATGACGATGACGTTTGGGATGCTGACATAACCAGCAAACAAGATTCTGATAAAGACACTTTAGAGATAGCTGATGAAGATGCTGAAGAAGTTAGTTTCTTTTCATTTTACAAACCTACACCTAATAATCAAGAAGCTGTCGCTTCAGAAAGAGCAGCCGCACTATCGGCACTACAAGCAACTCGAAAAAAAGCTGAGTTGTCTAGCAAACCATTAACTGTAGACAATGATGATAGTAATTCATTAATAACAGTTAAGTTGTCACATGATGAAAACTCAACTACTAGTCGACACACTGCAAAATCATGGGAAGAGTGTTTACCAAAGGTTACTATAAGTGATCCGGAAATTCTACGTCAAATGTCTTCTGTTAAAAAAGAAATCGCTGAACAAGAAGATGAAAAAGAGGATGTTGAAGAAAAGGTCTTTTGGACAGAAGAGAATTTCGTTCCTGGTCCAGAGGTATTTTAAATTCTTTTTAAATGGTCTTTTAATCTTCCAGCTAATAATAATCATATTAACTTTCCGAATTCGCTGATATTAATCATTATTGGCATTGTTTCTAATTTTGGAACAATTATCGTAGTCTACAGGTCATTATGAAGATAGATGTTTCATTTAAATAACTTAATTAAGACACAAGTTTAGTATAAAGGCGCAATCAACGAATTTTTTCAAGGTGATAATTTGATCTAATTCGATCTTCGAAACCAGCCGTCTTTTTGTAAATATGTCTGTTTTACGATTAAGCGAATAAGATTACCCTAGAGTCAAGGGTTCAATCCGTTTTGAAAATTCCAAACCTTATAATTTACACAAAATCATTGCTTACACTTTGACACTACTTATAAACGATGTGCGTTACTAAAACTTCTATCCCGTACATCGGTTTTATTTTGTTAAACTTGTGTTCATACATTCCCAATAGGATATTGCTGACTTGGAGTACGCGGATGACATAGTCCTGTTTGATGAAGACGCTGATAAAGTACAGTCTTCTGGTAGCACTGAGCAACAATACCACAATGTTTAGGATGCGTTTCGTCCCTTCTAAATGTAAATTGTTGCTACTCGATTGGCCTGCGTCAACACCTGAACTAAGGATAGGGAGTGAAGTAGTCGAACATGTCAACAACTTCACCGTTTATTCGAAATCCAGATAGAACATAAACAGTGGGCGGCTCTCTAATTGTGATCAAGGTCACTGATGGCTGTGAGCATCTAAATTCATCCAATCTGTGAGTAGCAGTAAAACGAGGATAATAGGTGTTAGTTAAGTGTGGTAGTCAATTAGTTGATGACTAAATAAATCACTTAGTATATAGATTGATAAATCAGTGCATTATTTAGTCGATTGATCAGTAGAAATTTGCTGTCAACGATTCGGTTATCTTGTGTAACATATTACCCAATTCGCCACTATCTAATTAAAAATGATTCTTACAAATCATTAGTTCTCCAAAGAAAATTTTAGTGTATTTCTACTACCACGCAGTTTGCATCCATGATTAACATGTTATGGTCATTTAAGCACTAATAAGGTGACTTGTGAATATCAATTAGTTTCACTTGTATTTGAAAGTATATGCTTGTTGGAGTTGCTATATCCCCAAAATACAAAGTACGAGAGAGAAATTGAATCTTACAATTTGTATATCGGCTTGAGGTGATTTTTATTATGACTTATATCCGCCCACTAAGTTTATGTTCTTAGGATGACCAATAATACGCCAGATAGCACCAGTAGCCTTGACCCTTTGTTAAGTCCTTTATTGGTCCTCGATTCGGTAGCTTTTCTCCCTCTCATAGCTGTTGAACCCAGAACACAGTAATTAACCTGCACTATACAAATATTGTATTTTAAACATACGTCGTTTATATACAGATTTATCCAACCACATAATACCATAAAATAAAAATTACGAACTATATATGATCAATCCAAAGCGTGGTTGTGGGTAGGGAAGACTGCAAATAACAAGCTGGCAACAGATTAAGGATAGTAAATCATATAATGGTAGTTAATGGGTCAAACGGAAACTCATGATAAAATGAATTGATACATATGTGTATATATAATCTAGCTACTTAGTAGTTATCCAGTAATAGTCCATAAATTGATCCTGGCAGTTGCCACTCCTTTAGTTTTTTTTCAGATACAAGAATTTTCGTCCAGTCAGCTTCAACATATTGTTGTGAATTCTATTCATCAATTATCAATTGTAATTAGTTATTTGATTCTCAATGCATTTTCCTTGTTATTTCACTATGATTTTTTGTCCAGTAAAAATTAATCGAATAAAGGGACTATGTAACCGAGTTGATATGTAGTTGAATTGACTTGCAGACTCAATTCTCGACGTTCTCATCCAGGAAGTCTTCTTAAGTAAATCGGTCATTTAGAGTAGTTGGAGTGGTAGGCTCAAAGCAAATAGAGCTGTTGTATACGGTATTGTAGTTTTCGTTAGAGTTTTCTCCCACATTCTGCATCTGTAACTGTGTTTAGAAGAGTTTTAAGTAAAAAAGAAAAGGGTATTTGGTAATATTGTGACTAATGTTAACTGGAATAGGATTACTTGTTCATTAGGCGTATGAAAAAGCTGTAAGCCTTTTGGCTATAGGTCAATAAATGACGTTTCGAGATTTTCAGGGATTCCATTTTGAATGAATTTTAGTAGCTGGAGTACATCAACTCGTCGTACTCTAAGCATTTGCGATTGATTTTACGTTTTCACTTGTTTTCTTTCACATTTTGCAAACTTTTTGAAAATGCTATTAGTCTTGTGATTTCCACTTTGCTCAACTTCCCTTCTGTTACTGCATTCTCATTTCACTAATATGAATTGTGTGACAACTTTGATACAGGGCTCTCATCGTCTGTTATATCGGGTAAATATTTATGCTTGTTTATACACTACTATGTATTTTATAAGTAGTTTCCGTTCACTGTTTTGGTTACTTTGAATCCTGAAATGATCTATTGCATTTGTCCTCCAAACGTCGAAAGGTGAAATATAAAGTTACTTTACGCGTAAGAAGTAGTGGTTAAATTATTCTTTCAACCAATAAGTCACGTGTTCAAACCCTACTCCAACTTTGGATTTGCACAGTCTAGTGGTGTCGTTAGCTCTTACAAAATCAGTAACTCAAATCCTAGTATAAAACGTGTAATTGGTAAAAAAAACATTCATTTGACGGATTAGATGGAATAAACAGGCTCCCGAACTGGATTTCCAAATAACAGACCCATAGTAAACGAATTAGTGTCTAAAAAACTAGAGGTTCATATCGACATTTAGGACTGTTACTTTGTGTCTCAAAATTTAAGGCAGGTATTCATGTGTATATGCTTTTAGAGATAGTGTTCTTACACAGTTCAGAACTTAATAATAATATACTTGTAAAAAATAGTCATATTTCAGTACAACAGTGTCGTACTTCCGGAGACCTGTTGGAACGCATCTTAACAATTATTCAATAATTAAGAGGTATTGGAAGCCAGAACTAGTTGTTTTAATTTGCGATTGTTTGGGTTGTCCCATTGTTGATATTTTGACTGAAGTTTAATCAGTCTTAGCTAAGATATATGTATATGTGCGGATTGCTTCGATATAGCTACTACGACACTAGTTTATATAGATTAGATGGAATGCGGTTAAGAATTAAATCCCGGAGCGCGTTAACGTTTGAAGCGAAAGTTACTTAGTTCGAGTCTCGGAACGAACATCAACTTTGGGATGCAAGTATATCGGGCTGATAAGTCTATACAGGAACTAGTTATTTCCACACACTTTCATTATTATGTAACATACATAAACATATCAGACAAAGTTACTGAGTAAAAACAGGCATATCATATTCATTTTCGATTTCTATGTGAAATATATAGATCTGAATGTTATTCAATTCTAACTGATAATTGGGATTATTTACATTGCTTTTTAATTACTATTAGTTTATTGTAATAAATTTTCTACTTTGATTTTAGCGTAAACGTGCACGTCTTGTTATGCCTGGTACAAAATCTAACAATATTGCTGTAAATGAATTATTACAATCAACAAATACAGAAGTGATATCAATTAATCAATCTGATTTAACAGCTGGTGCTCAATTAGAACTGATTAAATCTGTTACAAGTGATGATTCACAGTATAGACCAAAGTCTACAGATGATGATCCTGGCAAATTAGCACATAGAAAGCATCAAATCACTTGGCTAGCTCATCAAGTATGATTTTTTTTCTTTTAATAGTATTATTTCGTATGTTGTTACTTGGTTATTTGTCATATATTTTTGGTGAAACTGTTAATTACTATTTTTGTAGTTAATATATACGTTTGTTTGGACATAGACTGTGAATTGTTTGAAGTGTATCAGCTGGATGCCATAGACTTAGGCTTCATGCTAGTTGCCACTTATCAATAACGAATACATTGAAGAAACTATGCTTTCCATGAAATTTCGAACCCACTTTATCCAGTGTCAGTCAGAAATGTTGTTAAAACACGGCATCAAAAGTAGTATGTACCGCACAAAATAAAATTTGTTTATGGCTTGGGGTACTACTCAGGCGCCCAAGGTGAGGCACGTGGTTTTCTTAAGGTGATTTTTCTCTAGTCCTAATCCATATGATAGTGAAACAAAGTCAGGAGATGCAGTACCATGATCACCGGTGACCGAAATGGGTTCATATGCCTCTCGTCTCACCAGAATCATAGAACACATACACAATTGTTATGGAATTAAAGTTCTCCAAATCCCCAAGGTAGACGCTCCATATCCACCAACGTGGTTTAAACACTGAATTTTCGCTTTCTATCTTTTTTCTTATGTAAAACCATCACGTGAAGACGGCAGTTATAAATGCGTGGCTATATGGGAGCATTTCGAAAAATAGAGCGAACTTCCCTCATCTTCAGTCGTTATTATTTATTTATTTACTTATTTAAACACAAACATTAGTACAAGGAGGCACCAAATAGATTTGCGCCACATAAATCATTCAATTTGTGTGAGGGTTGGGATACTGCCCAGGTGCCCAAACCGAAACAGGTGGTTTCCTTAGGCGGCCACACCCCGAGCCTTTGACATAAAGGTCTGACCCACAAGGCATTGAGTGGAGTAACGTCAGGAGATTCGGTCCCATGGTAACCGGTGACCAACAATTGGTTCATACACCATTCGTTCTTTCAGAATCCTGGAGCCCATGTGCACCATTGGTTTGGAGTCAGGGTTTTCAAACTCCCATAGTTGAACTCTCCGTGTCCACCAACTCAGTTAAAGCATCGGACATTCGCTTTTCGTCCTCTCAATTGCATAAACAACACCCGGGCCACGAGAAGGCAGTGAGTAGGACTTCCCTGGCAGAGGCTATATACGCGTAGCCATATGAGAGCGTTTGGAGAGGGAGAGTTGACTCTCCTTACCCTCGGCCGTACCAGCGCATTTTGTGTGCAAATGCATAAATATAGCATAAAAGATATTTATATTTAATGGCTTACAATAGCCTACATATATTAGACATATGGTGAAGTTAAAAGAAACATTGCAACTCGAAAACGTCATCGTGTTTTTTTTTTCAAAATTCTACTTTATCATTTAAGTCCTTACTCTCTTTACAATTCTATTCAAATAGGCTCAAGAAAATGAAATGGAATTAGAAAAACGTTGGGCGGAAGCAAGACGTAATAAGGCTTCAAATCGAGCTAAATATGGATTTTGATTTTTTATTGGTCAAATATAGAATTGTTTTTCATCCTGCTGCCCAACTACCAACATTTTATGTGAATATGTAAATAGTACTTGTAATATGTCTTTTTTTTTGTATAGAGCTTATTCTAAGTTCCTTCAGTAAGTTTTATTTATTTCCACTGTCCTACTGCAAAATGTAGTATTTCGTTGTAAATATAATGTGGTCGTTTATTGTTTCTGCCTTTTACTTGTGTTATTTACTAATCAAGTCATTGATTAGTTAAAATCAATCTAAACAGAGAATTGTATTGAATGTTAGATTGTATTATTTAAAAGATTACTAGTATAGGGGTTGTGGAGATTAATAAGTTTTTGATTGAGATCATGAACCGATTGATGTTAGACCACCTTCGGAAACCTGGACAGCCGTTTCGTCCTATTGTGGGGCTCCTCAACAGTGCGCATCCACGATCCCGCTCGCGGGATTCGAATCCGGGGCCTTCGGTTTCGCGCGCGAACGCTTAACCCACTGGACCACTGAACCGGCATCCAATGGTGATAGTTTCTAACATCAACCAATCCACGAAATTGCGCGACCAACTTCCGTTGTACTGAGGTAGATACCTGTCGCTATCCGATAAGGATTAGCTCCACTGGTCACGGCTTCTCACTAGAACTCCGAGAATTCCCTCACGAAGCTAGTCACTAGTGAGCACATGTTGATTACTGGAATAGGGGTTGTGGAGATTATTAAGTTTTTGATTGAGATCATGAAGAGTTAGATAGTTTTTTAGTGAAATATGCTTAACTAAGTATGATTTAAAACTCTAAAGGTATTTGTGGAGATTGTTGAGTTTGGTAGGTTCTATCATGGGTTGACCATAGTTAGACAACCACTAAAAACTAGGAGCAATGAACAGCTATTTCGTCCCAATATGGAACTTCTCAGTAATAGAGATTCATGACCCCACTAGAGGCAATTAAACTTGGGACTTCCGAATCTCCTGGTGGGCAGTTCACCTTATCAACTTGTATAAATACGCAATATCGTACAAACATCTTCCACTGTCTCGTCCGACTTGTTTGAACTCCAATAGTGATAGCTTTTTTTACGTGACTACGTTGAGTAAATCCCGAATTATAATTTTAAGAATTTACTTTTACACTGCTTATTACATATAAGTAGTTTAGTTTTATCTAAAAATATTCACTGAAATACCTAATGTCCCGTCATTACTTCATTCATTTCAAGAATCACTGCTGCTTTTTGGGATGTAATTTTTAATAAAAATTACTTCTCATGCCATCAATTTTACTTTATTCGTTCTCTTTATCTGGATTGTTTGACTGTGACACACTTGGTAAATCCATATCAGACAATGAAGAACAAATAACTAGATTGTTTTTCTACAAAATGCCAGAGGACTTGTAGTATGCTGCAATCCGACTTTTCCATATAGATCATACAATTAACAATCCTGAGTACTTGATTATATCGGTCAATATATACAAGTGGGGACTGTATTCTTTTATGAACGAACAGTACTTCTATTCATTTGATAGTGACCTTAAAAAGAATTAGTACCATAAAATTGGAAAATCTCTACAAACACCTAAAGTAACTAGCTATGTGCTCTCTACTGAATAAAATCAAAAGGTAATATTCCCGAGTTCTTGTAGAATTCAACCATGTCGTATGTGAGACAAGTACTCATCAAGTACATTGAAGAATAGTTGCTTGATATTCCGAATAGATTGAAGTTAGAGATGTACATGATGAGATTATAATTTATGGACGGACCAGTCAGATATAAGATAACAGGTCCAGGGTTTTGTCGCGAAATTCATTCATCCATTTGACTAAATAGCGCTTTGGCATTATAGCTGATGTTGGTGATGAAAACCCAAAATCTAATTCTAACCCTAACCATTAACTGTAAATCATAATTCTAATTCCTCACACTGATTTATAACCCTCATTTAGTCCTAGTTAGTAGGTGGACGTCCTTAAGTTCACTTTAGCGTCACCCAAAGGTCGTCCATAAATTATATTCTCACCATGTACACCATTGGATACCAGCTCGATGATATAAAGAGCCAATCAGAAGTAGCTAGACGCGGTCAATCGATGGCAATGAAAAGTTACCTGAAGGAGTATATATCATTGACTAAGAAATGGATTGAGAGGTAAAAATGTATATATATATATATATAAGAGTATTTGTGCATCTTATTCGTTATCTCAATATACTTTCCAGTCCACTCTCGTGTTTTCGCTCAAGTAGTCATGTTGGGGGGGGTTATCGCGTAGCACATTGTGTATCAATAACATATTTCGAACTCCACCCATCAAAAACAATCGGTGATCTACAGGTTAAACATCCATCCACATGACCAAAGGTCCTGGATTCTATCTCATATAATGAAGTTGTGGTTGAGCGTAACCACTATCCAATGTATTCTAGTTTCCAGTGCTTGTTTAACTATGGTCATTCCCTAATTCATGTCTATTGTCCTATATAGTTTTCAGTAAAAAACAACAACAACCTTATTTTAGCAAAACTTTTACTTAAACATGCAGAAATACGTTTTCCAAAAAAAAAATCACATTCCAATTATATACTATCACAATGTCAATAAACGAAGATGAGAAAAACACAATATAGAACTTTTTTCTCATATTCTAGCCAAAAGAAACAATGGAAAACGAAAAACTGGAATAATGAAGAAAATTTCTGTTTTTCTTGTAATGAAATATCCTACTGTTTTTAATGATTGACACAATTTAGGGTGTTGTAACTTGTGGCCTGTGTGTTCTGTCAATATTTCACATGATGATACCGCGAATTAGAGAACAGTGAATTATCGACCAGACAATGATGCATAAAACAAGTACAAGCAGTCTAGCATTCTTATCGGTCGTGCTTCCCGTCTAGCCCTTCCTGTTAAGTCCAGAACACCAATCTCAACCTCCACGATATGAATCATGCATTTCAAGCATACTGGGTTTATATACACCAGCCAAACAGACCACATCGTACAATAAAATGGGAAACCACATTTGTACAAGATTTAACCAAATATGGCTGTAAATATGGGAGATAGTAATTAATAGACTGGGTATAACTCAAGAACGGTAAATCTTATAATAACAGTCTATAAGTCAAAATAAAGCTAACACTAAGCGGAACGTGAATATACATAGTCTAACTACCTGACAATTATACAATAAGAATATATGTATCGTATTGATCCAGAAATAGATCCCAATAGTTACCATTCATTATTCTCATCGGGATATAACATGGGGAAGTTTTATTTTTTGATTAATACTTGTATCGTCTTTCATTTTTTACATATCGACTTAGTTAATTAACTAGTTGAAAGTATTTTAAAGGACACCTTATCATGTATATATGATGCATACTACCTATGCGAACAGATATAAGTAGTATATAGCAGCAATCGGAAGTGAAATGCCTGTCATTAGAAGATTGAATTGAAGAGAATAGGAAGGAAAATAAAGAGGAATTTTAATCACAATATAATTGAAAGAATTACGAAGTATATACAGGAAGACTGAAGGGAGATGTATAAATAATGTAGGATTTACGAAGGTACTTTTGTAATTATGAATTCAAAATTAAATTGCTTTCCTTGCACAAGTTCTTCCTTCTCTACATGTGTATTGAATTCCAGTCGAAGGTAACTTATCATTTGATATGAAGCATAACTTGGTAGTTAGATATGCATGTCGATTAATCAATGAAGTGGTATGGTAGTAAATATGTTGTGCAATAAATTATTATCAGATGGGTTTTGTGGATATTACACCAATTTCAATGGTTAAGATCATGAGTCAGCTGAAGCTAGACCACCACGGAAAAACTGGAAGCACTGAACGGCCTTTACGTCCTATTGTAAGACTCCTCAGCAGTGTGCATCCACGACCTCGCCCCCTGCGCACTGCTGAGGAGTCCTACAATAAGACGAAAGGCAGTCCAGTGCTTCCAGTTTTTCCATGGTGGTCTAGCTTCAGCTGACTCATGATCTTAACCATTGAAAATAAATTATTACTTGAAATTTCGGTGACTTACGACGACCTTTGAGCAATGCTAGACTGACCTTGAGAGTGTTCACCTAATAACTACAACCAAATGAGGGTTATAAATTAGTGTGAGCAATTCGAATTATGATTTACAGTTGATGATTAAGGTTAGGAATTAGATTTCAGGTTTTCATATCGAACTGACATCAGTTAAAATACCTAAACTCTATTTATCCAAATGGATGAGTGGATTTCGCGCCAAAATTCGAGACCTATTATCTTAAACGTGATTGGTTCGTCCATAAATTATAGTCTCACCGAATTTTTTTCCTTAATGAAACTACTTACAACTTTTTGACATTCTTACATACATACATATGAGGTTTTTCTTCTTTACTTTGTGATATAATACTGATTAATTTAGGAGTAGTGTGTTGTTTTAATTAACCTCACCTTGATCTACTTTCAGTATATGCCTTACCACTTTGTCTTTTCAAATTATATTCTGAATGTTCAATCTTTCATGATCGTTGTGTTTGTAAGCGAGAACTCAAGTTGCGAAGATCTATTTACTGTTGAATACAATATTACAGAATGTTCTCATAAAATATGAAAGTTATACATTAACTACTTCATTTACATATCTTTCATCAATTGTCTTTTATAAACTTCATCGTTCCTTCATTCTTGTTATTGTTACAATTACTCATTGTATACATTCCTGATTGGTGCTACATACTACTTATGTATGTTGGCATAAGTAGCATACACCAAAATTGTTGTGATTCATTTTCTGTTTTATCTTTTTAAGTTAATCTCGTCGTGCTAATACGGTAAAGACAACTTGGACTAACGCATTTATGAGCCAAACTCTACGTGGATCATAAATGACTGACCTTTAGTAATAAGTACCATATTTAAACCGAAAAATATATGGAATTCTCTTGTTAACAAATCAAGTTAGTTAGTGATTGACAGGTCAGATATTTGATAAATCTTCTAATTGAAGTGCTAGATCAGATCTGCTAAGCTCTTCTAGTATTCCCCACGCTAAATCTACACAGCAACTTGAACACAAGAGAAAAAGCGCGAAATATGGAGGAATCGCTTTACTCCAAAGGTTCGTTTATGTACAGATAATCTAGGGTATTTATAGCATTTTAATTGGCTTTAGGCTTCCGGACAT